ACGGCCACCCTATTTCTTGGTTGCATGACCTTTTCAGTTTAATAACTGAACGAAAAATAAATGAAAAATAGCAACTGCTAATTGCTCATTATAAAATGGAGAATAAACGTATCAGTTGCTTTCATGTGTAATATACACATAAAACATTTGCTGCATCAGGCCAGAGAAAAAAAAGCTTGGCCCATTAGTTTCACTTTCATAAGTGACAAGTAGTAAGACACCTGGGAAAGATTGTGATTGCAGGAAGGAAACAGTGGTGGAAAGATGCTTCCCAAGTAACTCTCACACACCAGAAATCTGCAGTTTAGGAGGGGTGGTGTGGTGATTGTAGAGAGATGGCTGATGTATATCCAGAGACACATTAGCATGCACTCTCTTCTCCTTTTTTAATAGCCTCTTGTGCCAAGGAGTGAAGGTAGCTTTTTCTTTTTTTTTTTTTTTCTTTAGCATGGGCACTCTGCAGTGTTTTCCAGACTAAAGTCTTCTTGATGACAGTTTGGAATTTACAGAGCCTTGGCTGCATAAGCAAAACACAGATAAGTCTCCATTCCTGTTTACTTTCCACACTCCAAAGAAGATCAGATCAGCCTGTGGGATGGGAAGGCAAGGAGATAATTATTTTTGGAAGATAACAGGAAGAAGAAAAGACAGGTAGTTGTTTTACTTTAAAATCTGCTGCTTTATAATGGTTCTCTGCTTGCCCTCCAAGACCCTAAATAACTTATTCATAACATAACTATGGCAAGGAAAATCCAGCAAAGACAGAGGAGACTTTGCCAAAAGGAAATTTGAGAAGAACAGGACTGAAAGAGCAGACAGAGGTAACTCTGATGTACAAAAATACATTTATTTTCAACAATTTCAAAACCACTGCCTTTTTTTTTTTTTTTTTTACAGTAAAAATATTCAAATGGAACAATAAAACCAAGAACAGTATATATATATGTATAGATATGACTCATGCATTTGTATTACTGTGTTTAATACAAGTATTGCAATTGTCTGCCTCATTTAATCCTTTAAAACCATGGTTGTGGTTTGGATTTAATGCACTGTCCAACATAATCAGAAGGGACGTGAGGATTCTGGTTTGCTTTTTCAGACCAGCACAAGCTAGAAGGTATGTGAGAACTGACTGGAGGGATAGGGAGGGGAACAGGACATCTTTTCACGTCCTTGAAACCAAGTCTTAATCCAGAAGAAAATGCATGTTCTCCTGCACATGCTCTTACTGATGGCAGTAAAACCATAACTGAAAACCTCTGCAATTCCAGTCTCTCTAGCTTCATTTTCAAATCTTCTGTGTTTATTGTTGGGGTTCTCAAGCACAGGTTAAACCACATTGTTCATCTACTATGTATTTCTAATATTCACAGAGTCAAAAGCTGCAGCTAGTCTTACGCGTTAGTCATATATTAAAGTCAATATAGCAGAATCCATTGCAAACAGAAGGCTGGCAGTGATAGAAGGCACTGACCCAATCTTTTGCTCTCTCTTTCTTTTCTTCTTCACACACAACTAGACTGTGGGAGCAATTTATGTTATACTCATGTTACTACCTTTTTCCCTCCTCCCTCAGGTAAATAATCATCTACAGCTTCAAGGATTTTGATTACATTTCCTCCAATATAAACTTGCAGGGGAAAAAAAAACAAATGATGTTTTCAGGCTGTTACTTTACATCTATACACAAGTAAAACTGGACAATACCCCAGCCTGTGCCAAACATTCCAGGTCAGTACCTTCCAAAAAAGTAAACAGCTGGTTGCACAAGCCAAATCTTAGAGGTCCCATGGATTGCTGCAGCCTCAGGTACACCACAGTGACACAGTAGTTAGCCTTCTAGCACCCTACAGGAGCAGTTTTCTGTTATGAACACAAGGTTTTTCCAGCTGCCATCATGTTCTTGCAGGCATGATCCCATGAATATCCTAGGGTGAGCTCTTTCCAGACATACATGGAGCCCTCTCTGGTTCAAGTAGCAGTGTGACAAACTACTCTGTCAGGTGGTGATAACCACTAAGTGAAGATGAAGTTTGAGTCAAATCAAGAACCAGGCAAGTTTTTTTGTCATTCAATTTTGGCTCCCTGTTCTTTGTTTATTTGCTTTGGAGCAACTTTAGGATAATCTTTGATTAAAACTAGTTCTCTGGACAGTGGTTTCTCTAAAAATTTAGAAAGTTCTCAACTTCCATTGAGATTAAATTTCTTTTTAAGAAGTGAAAATATTTCAATTTTTTCCAAGGTAACTTCCAATTTTTCCTCCTTGATTCCTCCCATCTGATGAGTTATTTTAACACACTCTCCATTGCATCTTCAAGAGTGTAGATGGAGAAATTGGAGGATAAAAAAAATAGTGAAAAGAAATTGTGAAAACTATAATCCCAAATCTTTCTTTTTGAATGAACATAAGTTAATTTCTGTGAATAACTTAGAAAATTTGAAACAACACTGAACATTTTCATTCGGTTTCCTGGTTTAGAAATTATAATGAAAACAATTTCTCATTTAGTCCTCTGTAGCAGCTCACAAAAGCAGTCCCTCAAATCCTAATGATCAACAAAGACTGAGATCAGCCCACAGTTTAGCTCAAGGCCCACAGGACCATTGTTTATGTACATCCCTCCCATCTATGTCTAAATGGGAAGCTATGGCCTTGCACTAACAGTGTTATTACCAGATTGGGCCATTACTGTAAACTCCTTTGGTGTTTCAGAAGAACAGAGACAGTAGCAACAGTTTATGCACATGTGATGGATGGAAACTTAAATTTAAATAGAAAAACACAACCATCGCTCTCCAGCTTATGTTGGAACCAGAGCAGAAAAGTGAGGGAGCAGAGAGAAAAGAATTCTTTTTAAACCAAGTGAAAAGGTTCACAAACCTTATTGAAATAAGGGAGCAGAAGAATTGAAAATATTTAGCTTTAATATTTCACACAAAAAATAGTTTGCTACATTTTGATTTTAAAATTTTAAACTTTCAATACCTCCCTATTTTTTCAGCAGAACTATGCTTAATCACTGTTTTTCCTTTCTCCCCTTTCAAGAGACATCAGCATTAGAATCCTGAAAAGACTTTCCAGCCCCTTAACAGAATGGACATGTGGAGCTGAGGCTGGTTTGTAGCCAGTACGTTACAATGCAGAGAGGTAGCAAGAAAGGCCTAAATCCTACCCATCTTCCCATTTCAGTCCACATAAACTGTCCTGTAATCAGATTGTCACCTGACCTAATTTCTGTCCTCTCTTACAAATGCAAACACTGGAACACCTTCCCAAACATGCCTCCAATCTTCCTTCCACTCCCATTAGGTTTTATAATTCAACACTCCACAGAATAAGATCCACTTTTAGTACTGTCAACTCATGAGAAGTGGATAAAAGCTACTCACCACTAAGTCTATCACCTGCATCAAAACTCCATCACTCCTTGGGGCTATCCTCAACTCAGTTAGGTTGAGAGATGGATTCTTTAGGAGCTTTTTTTGCTTTTTTCTTCATGAGCCTCCCTGCACTGATCAAAAATGATCAACCAATCCAGCATGCAAAAATTACCCCGAGAGCATTTCCATCCAGAACTGAATGCAGCCATTCTGCAGCACTCACAAGAAAGAACCTTTCCTAGCTCAGTTTTGTAGATCTGACTACGCATCCTGTTCCCCGAAGAGCAGCCTCTAAATGCATGCGTCATGTTCAGCTAAAACCTCTTACACATCCTGAAAAGCATTTACTTTACCTTAACTCATTTACTTCAGCTTAACTCCTAAGCACAAAATATCACACAAATAAAGGTACTGCAACCAGATCCACTGTTCAGCTGGGGTATACAAGGAAGTGTAAACACACTGACGTTTGTGCACACTGAGACTGTGGTTATTTTCTGTTTGTTTTCCTCATCTTCCCTAGCTGATGTCATCAAGAGCCTTCTCAGAAGTGAACAACAGAGATAGAGGTGAGTAGATGATGAACATCATTAAAGTATTCATGACAGACTCATGGTCTGTCCTGATAAAACCTTTTTCTGCTCCATCATAAGAAATGATAATATATCTAAAAAAAAAAAAAAAAAAAGAAAAAGACTTGTAGGTATACACAGAGAAATAAACGGTGCTGATTGAAATATGACAGACAACTGGAACACACTTGGAACCAAAGTGTGATTCAAGTGCTCACCACAGTCCCTGGTTGGCTGGAGTGTGTGTGCGTGCATGTGTGTGTGATTCAGGTTTTGTTTTAAACATTTCTTCCTTTACTAAACATTAAATTATTTCCTAAGAAATAAAAAGCTATGTACATTGTAATTATCTACAGTAGGCCTTCGGCATCCTTGCTATTCACATGCATGGCATTTGAGCTGCATTCATAAACGCAAGCATGTTCCCTCATTGCTTGTGGTGCTGTCCCCTCCAGCCAATCCACAGTCCAAGGAAAACTAATGTGCACGCTCTGAATTTATTTTTCCCCTTTCTCAGCAGTCAACAATGCCAGAGGGTGACTGAAATTAAAAGCAATTACAAAAAGGCAAGATCCTGCAAAAAGCTGAGACATGCACATCACTGGAATGTGAGGGCTGTTGGCAGGTTGCAGAGTCTGGTCCAAAAGCCCAGCCTAAGCCTTCTGGCAGAATGAAGCAGGTGATTCATGACTCGCAAAAAAGATCAGAAAAGGGACCATTTACCTACACTTACCTTGCCTAAGGTAGCATATCTTCCTACTGTATTCGAATACTTAATTCCTATTCTGTATTTAAGAGGAGTCAGGCATTCAAATCCCATTGCACACTTCTCTTATTCTTTGCTTTTTATTTCTGATCTGATGGAAATTTCCTAAGTATGAAGAAACCTGCTATTTATGAATGCAGCCCTGGTAAACAGAAAAAGCCCACCCCCATCCCCTCCCAAATGATAATAATGACATATAACTCTCTTTTTTCATAATAATAATAATAACAATAATAATTACAAATAAAAAGTCAGAAATTTTGTAGACCAAGAGGATTCTCAGTATTAAACACTAGTGCAGTTGGGGATTTCCTTTGTGCTTTCACTGTTGGCAATAGTTGAGATGCTTCCTGTGGAGGAGAAAATGGAGAAGACAGTCAGCGCAGCAGCTTCAACAGTGGGGTCTATATTGCTTCTCACTCCTTAGGATGTAAGTGTAGAAACAGAAAAGGTGCTTAAAAGTAACACATTCTGCATTGCACTTGCAGTAAGCACAGAGTATGTAAAAAATCTGTTATTACAGTTCTGTTGGCTACCAGTAAACTTGTTAAGCTATTAGTGACATATTCATTTGTAAAGACAGCACATCAACAGTGTAAGCTTGGCTTAGTTAATTTTTCTGAGGCTTTACTGAATTTGGGAGCCCTCCACAGGAGTGAAAGGGTCATGAACAGATCAAAGTGTGACTCGCAGCCATTACTAACTCCTATAAATCTACTACTATTTCCAGTTTCCTGCTCTAGTCATATAACAACAGGATAAAGGATGAAAAACTGTAGGAAAAACTCAGTGTTACTATGTTGATAGAATTTTTCCCTATTGCAGTGTCTCAGCATCTGCTTGTACATGGGATCACAGTCACTGCCTTGCTTAACACCCACATCCTCACCTAATATACAGTGAAAAAAGCCCCAGCCAAGGGCTGTGTCTCACCCATCACTCGTGTGTCCAGCTCTTTGTCCATCAGCTCTTCAGGATCTGTGAAATCACTCAGAGTGATTTTGGGTGCATTTTCACTTTGGCTGACAGAACCAATCATTTCCTGCTCCTTGTCATGCTGAACTTGGGCATAGATATTAATCCAAGGGATTTTCCTGCACAGAAAGGAAAATAGGTTCTATTTTGCCAAGGTACATCACTGGTACGTCACTGATTAATCAGACGAGTTAAACTCAGACCAATCTCAAAAACACAGCAGTGGAAGTGATGCAGAATATCATCTCTCAGATGATGATGGCACCACAGTGACATTCAGCCCTAAGCATGCCATTAGCATCTACTAATAACTGTACCAACCTAAAGCTACCCCAAAGTCTCAGGCCACTGCCTTCGTACCCTGTACCCACAGGCTCCTCCAGCAGTAAACCTGATATTCTGGTGCTGCCCTGTTCTGATGTGCACAGTGGATACTGCACACCTAGCTCAGACAGCAGCAGTCAGCTAAGTATAATCAGTCGCAATTGCCAACTCCCTGAGTATTTATTATATGATCAGTGGTGCATTGGAAACCAAAAGTAAAAATCAATTGAAGCACTACTATTAACTGAGAAAAAAATTGCTACGTTTGTTTCTATTGACAGGCCCACAGTGACACAGTAGAAAATGCCACATCAGAAAGAGTTATAAAGAATTGATCCTGCCTGAGAGAAAGAAAAGGACTTGTACCTCATAAAACCTACCTAAAGTCTATTTCTTACCATTTCAGTGCAAAACGTGGTTTGTCATGCTAAGGACAGTGACAGTTTGCAGGGACTTATTTTCTATTGCTACTTGGGGAACTGAGAAAGTGAAAGCACTATTTCTTCTTCCAAACTCCAGGAGAAGTTAATTTGGATTACTGGAATAATATCCTTGAAAATCAGATAGACAGACAGACAGATAGTCAGGTAGGCCCCCAAGCATAGTTCCTGGGAGAATATTTAAAAGAGAACTGACAAGTAACATCTTAAGTGTCTGAGTGGTCACTAGGATTATTTGTGTGCAGTGGACCATGGAAAGGTGACCGATTGCTTTTTCTACCTGCTGAGCCCATAGGTTGGTGGACTTAAAAATAAGGAGGCTGTGTGCAAACCAGCAAAGCACTGATTCTATAAATCTGTGGAATTAAAAATTCATGCAGACCCATGCTCCTCCCAGAACATTTTCCTGTTAACAGCAGTTCTGTATTCAGGCCAGGACCACTGTTAATCAGAAAAGTACATACTGCTAATGGACCTCTGAATCACTAAGAGCTAGAGAAAAGCTTTTGTTTTCATCTCCTTTTAACTTTCCATTCATAACTGTTGCATGCTCTCACTGAGCTCAAGTATTTGCTTTGTGTTAAAAAAAATCAAGCTGAGGACACACTGGGTATCTAATTTTTAATTTTTGGCAGTTCCACATGCTTGGGACAAATCAGATTAAGAACTGGTAAGTTGAAGAGCTTTGGACTAAGCAAAACTCATACTTTTAGCCATCTATTCTCTCCTCTTCCCTCCCCATTCGATTTCTAATGCATTACATTCTCAGACATTCTGTTTTAAAAGGACAGGGTCTTTTCTGCCCTGGAGCACAGCACGAGGCTGATGGATGCTACACTCCAGGTTTCATAAAGGCTCAGGATGCTAGTATAAGAGTTTGTTTTATGAGATATAGAAGCATAACATGATGCGGACTCTGGCAGTCAAAATATGCAGATCCTTCTTCTTGACTTACCCCTGACCACAGATCCAAAGATCCAAAGCACAAACCTAAGACACAACCTTACCAAGATGAAAAGGAAAACACACCTTACTCTGGCCCATAGAAAAGATAGCAGAGGGAACAAAGTAGTTGAAATAGTTGAAATTCGGACAGGAAAAGATGTAATTTCCCAATTTGAAGGTTTGCAACCTATTCGTGTCCAGATATTTATTTTTGTTTCTAATACAATATTTTGTCACTGGGCAGGATGTGAGCACTTAGACCATTTAACGCAGTAAGTAGAGTACTGAATACAAAGTTATTGATAAAAAGCTCCATCTGCCTAAGATATAATCTTCTAAGGTAGCCCGTCAGCTAACAGGTTGTTCTTATCCCATATTTTGCTTGATAGCTTGCAGCAGCAGAGCATCATAGGCCAGCATGTGTCCTGCCTACTGTCAAAGCAAAGGGTATATTTTAACATCTGGCAAAGTAAATCTCAGCACAGATTCCAAAAGATACTTTGCTGCATTACACAAACTTTTCTGACATTAAATCTCCCTCCGTTAATATAATGACACCCATTTCTTTGCTCTTGCCATTCACCTTGCAAGATACAAATGAGATCCTACTGCACTAAAGCAGTTGGCAAGACGGATGTAGACTGTATGAAGACATCAGTCATGTTTTTTGACTAGGTGAGCACACAGGCATTTTCTGGTCTATGGTTCAAACAGATCTGCTGAAGCAGGGAACAGCTTGACTTCTGAGCTCTTTGTGAGTTTTCAGAGCACTGATGTGGAAGAACAGGAGGTGGATTTTTTTTGTATTTAAGAACTATGGAGCTGTACTTGTCTAAGTCTTAGGCCAGTACAACTCATTCTACACCTGCAACCCAAGCACTGCTCTGCCTAAATTTCCTGTAAACCACCCAGCATCTCCTCCTCCTATCCACCACAGTTTTTCATCTTACCTCTTGAACTTGTAGATTAAAAAAACAGCCAAGCCCACAAACACCACAGACAACAACATCAGCATCGCCGAACTGCTGTGACCTGTGCTGGAATCAACAAGGGGTGCTGCAGGAGGAAAGGCAAAGCATTACATTTGCAAGACATTAGCAAACACGTAACAGAGATTTTCTCTAACAGAGAATTGAGCTCACCTCTGTCACATCTGCTTTATTATCACCACTGCATGGTGCATGCTGTTTCCATCAAGGCCAATGAGTATAAAATTAATTGATTCTCATATCCTTTGAAAACCACATTCCTTTTTCAAGGCAATGCAGTCTAACATCTCCTAGTGAAAAGGCACAGCAAGCCATGCTCAGCTGAATGGTCAATCCTGTGTTAACGCTGAGCTATTTCTTTTTAGGTTTGTCCACGGACAGAAGTGGAAATGAAATTTATGAAGTTTGACTTAATAGACATCTATTCTCCTTCAGAGAAGTAATCTCAGAGTGGTTCCCATCTTCCAATTACTTGTCTGCCTCACATGTGAAAGAGTCCTGGTCTTTTGAGAAGCCCCAAGGCTTCTCCTTCTAGCAAGACCTAATTGTTACCTTTTAATTCAGTCATTTTTTGTATCATGAAGGAAACTAAATCAATAAATCTAGACCCAAGCAGGCACCACACTCTGGATCTTTGGTCCTATCCTTGGCATTTTTGATAGAGTAAATAAAGTGTATTATAAAACCTTGTTTGTGCAGCTATTTCCACAGCTCATTGGAACACACTGTCTTAATGGACTGAGAACTATTAAAGTCTGATGAGAACACTCTAATAATGTGCAAATGATTGTAAGTAGCATCTGAATGTGTCTCACTGCATAAATATTATTTAGTTCTTTTTTTTTTTTCTTCTTTTTTCTCTATTGTTCTCTATTCTTTTTCTGTCACTTAGATAACGGGGACAGATTCTCTGCAAATAATTCTCTGGTTCTAGCTGCAACTTTTCAAATTCAGGATTCTGATCCTACCAGTATTCTGCTTCCACCACTTCTATGAACTTTTTCTTGGAAAATAACTGACTCTTATTTCACTCAACTGAAAAAAAATATGGGAATGGTCATGAAAAAAAATGCAGATGCAGCACCTGCACTTACAGTGTCTTACTAGAACAAACCCAGAGAGAGACTGCAGAAGTTGGTATCTCATTGTGTATTGTAAATTAATTCCTTTCAGACTATCTCTGTTAAGGTCTAACTCTCACCTCCAAACAACAATCAGAAAGCAAAGATACAAAGACATAGTCTGCAGAAGAGGAGGTGAGCCTTGGTTTTGCCCAAATCTTCTCTCTGAGTGTCTCAAGTAAAAGGAAGCAAACATGCTTTATCCTAGGACATGAATCTCACTTTTCCAGAGAGTCTATTAGCAGTGTCACATGCACAAGATCCCATGCTTCAGATAACTGCAAGGGCAGCCATAAAAAGCAAGGGCAAAATAAATACTTCATCTCCTCTACAGCCATCATTGTCTCAGCAATAATCAAGAGCTTCACACTAGGCTAGCCAAAATTCTCAGCTGTAGCTGAGAGCTTCACACCAGGGCAGTCTAAAGCAAGTGTGATGAAGCTTGAAGCAACTACTTGCTACTATGTGAAAATGGAGATAGGTAACAGTGAGACAGTGATTTGTAGAAGTTAATATTCAGATCTAGATCTTTTCATGACTGTAGGACACATAAATAGTCCTGGCTAGTCATACCATTAACAAACCCTCTACAACAATGGTATGATCCAATATCCATAAAAATTAGTAAGAATGCTCTCACTTAATTCTACAGGTGCCCAGTGAGAGTTTAATAGAAAACCATTAACCTGATGCTCTAAAACACTTGATAAACATCAACGCACTAGTTAATTACACCACAGGAACTCTTAAATGGTACTTTCAATACTTTTACAAACTAGTGTATGAAGATACTACTGCTTGGTTCTGTTTGTAACACTTCCTTCTGTCTCAGTACGACAAGCTCTAAGTAACCCAGTAGCATATATCAAACTGTTGAGTGCTGTAGTGTAAACCCATTCACCTGGAGCCGTACGAATCCTCTAAAGAATCACAGTTATGCCTCTTACTCCACACTCACCTAATGTTAACTGAGTGACATACACAATGACTTCAACACCAGGTTTCAGTTCAAACTGGACCAGGTTCTGATTGAGAGCATTAAAAAGGATTTCAACAACCTGAGAAAATAGTAAGAGATACAGGTTACAATATAGAAGAGAGCCAGCTCAGGAAAACGTTCAGAAATGTTAGTCACCACTTGTAGGCTACGTACATCTCTTACTGTCTTCAGGAAGAGGAGGAAGAAAGCAGGAAAGAGAAAGGTATGTGAGAAAACTGAGGAAGTAAAGAGAGACATGCACATGCTTTAGATTAAACTGAGTGTTACTGAATTCAAGTCTCCCTGAAGGACAGACACGCTTTTGAGGTTCAGAGTGTTATTATAATTCTCTGGGGAATAAAAGGCAAGAATGTGAATGTGGTGTGGAAAAGAAATTAAGGATCTTCTCATCTTCTACTATGTCTTGTGAGCTGGATCTTACACACTTGGAAATCACTGAGATATTCTCATTAGTGAGTGATGGAATCGAGCTGGGCAGTCTGGCCTACTAACAACTCCTTGCTCCCTTTGATTCAGGACAAGCCTAGTTACATAGCTCCTGCTGAAATACACTGTTGGGATGCTACTATCCAGTGATATCAAAATTTTTATATTTCTCCTTCATTTAGATGAGGGGCCTTGAAAGGGAGGCTACCCACAGCTCAGCAAGCCAGATGTGATGTATTATTTGATTGCCTCACAGCATATATTTTTCATGTCACCTGGAGCCTGAGCTTGTGAGTGCCTGGTCTCCACCAAGTAATTCTGGTGGTCGGGGCAGAACTCCTCAAGTAGGAGCCATTAACAGGTTCCAAAGTACAACTGAGTAGACTGTCAAATACAGTGAGACCACTAGAGCTACAGCTCATGGTCAACTAGGTCAGAAATGCAATCAGATGTCTCCATAATACTGCTATATGAAAAATGTTCACAACTGTGTTTTCAGAGAGAATTCGAATAGGAGTAGGCCCAACCAAACTGGACAGAAACAATTCCAAGAAAATCTCTCCAAATAGCCTTCAAAATCTTCCTTCTTCTATGCCTCTCCTTTGTGCATACTTAATAGCGTTAATTTAAGAATGCAGTTTTGCTAGCTTTCTACGACAAACATACTACACTGAAGGGGCTAACTTTGCTCAGTGGGTGAAAACAACTTCCATGGAATTCAGGAATCCTTTGAGTGATTCAGTGTTTGATCACAGAAGAGTTACTCCCATAGGCACTTTGAGATGGGCTACCCATAGCTTTCACAGAGTAGAACAGTAGGAATGGTGCATACAAGAACATTAGCTAGAGCAAAGCAGCTTTTTCAGCACTACTTCACTCCTTTGCTTTCATAGATTTGATATAACTGCTTGGTAATTTTAGCAAAAAAAAAAAGCTTCAGCAGACTAGTGTTCTTGTTCCTAGCTCTTCCTTTGCCTGTGTATCACTGTAGCAATTCATCACCGTAATTACCTATTTATCTAAATGGATGGATATTGTAACTTTCAAATACAGTTTGCACACACTATGTGCTGCTTCAGAATAAAGAGTTCTTGTTCCTGTGAAATATGAGCTGAAGAGCTTGATTTATTTTTAGTAAACCTCAGTATATTATCTTGCTGTTTTGGCCTTTGTCTATTAGCATTCCTCCAAGGAGTGGAGGGAGTACATATTCAAGTTCCTTTGGCCATAACTACTGTAATGAGGGCACACTACTGATCTAGGTACTGATCTAGTCTACCGTTGCTGGTAGACTGTGACGCATCTCAGTGAGGAGCTTGAAATCCCATTTTCCCTGTGAAAGTCATTCTCTTTAATGGTATAAACTATACTGCCACAATCCAACACGCATCCAGTTACACCTCACATACTGCAAGTCAATTCCAGTGCTGAAAAGGTTAAGGGGTCCATCTGTAAATGTTACCATGGGAATAAATGATCTGTGAACCCTTTTATCCTTACCTGTTCCAGATCAGCTTCACTGCTTTTCCTTCTCTCTGTAATGTTTTTGCAGGGTAGCACAAAGAGCTCAGCAGAAGTAGGCAATCCAGGAAATACGGCTACCAAGATTTGTTCATCAGGAATACCAGTCACCTAAAAAAAGTAAACAGGTGGTCTCTAGCTGCTCTTCTACTGCTGATTTTTCCATTCACTATGGGAAACTACGCTCCCATCAAATTGTAATTTGTCAGTTCTGCTATGGCTGAACTGTTGCAGCCACTGAGTGAGTCTTAAAATAGAGGTTCTGCTAATGATGTTCTCTGTCATTTTTAGAAGTAAATGTAGCGTGGACAACATCCAGATGCCCAAAGATCACAACCCAGAGTTCAAAGACAAAACCTACAAATCTCTTCATATATGAATTTTCCATATAGTCCCTCACCACAGAAGAACAATGCAAAGTCAGATCCAGAGACTCAAGGAGACCAATAAGCATGCAACAAATGGGGACATGTGATGAAAATTATTTGCAATCACCTTCTAACAACAGGTTATAAGGATCCACATTTGCTACATATGAAGTAAATGAAACACATCAATGGGGCAGCCTACTTCTGGTGATTTGTCCTATAAGAACAGACTGTAGGTTGCAACCGAACAGTCAAAAAAGGACATACAGACATGCATTTCTACATGCTTTCTATTGTTGATGTTACTGTTATTCCAATATAGTTCATTTATTTTCTCTGCAAACTTGAATATATTACAATGTACGACCAGAAAAAACAAATGAAATAAGTGTTTTCTCAGGGTGGGAAAATAATCAAGGGAACTCTCATAAGCTGTGAATTTTGAGTAGGCTGCAGATGAGAAAAGCTGAGCAGGAATGCACTTTCTTCATAAAAATAATCAGTCACCATTTCTAAGAACAGATGTAGCTGAAGCAAAAATAAATAAATAAATTTTAAAAAGCAAGATACATTTTGGTAGAAAGTAAAAAAACCACAAAGGCTTGCTCATATCTATTCCTTGATTTCACACAAAACCAAAATCCCGGGCTATTTGATATCATAAATTATTCTGTCCGATTTCCTGCAAGAATTTGAGTGCTAGTTTACATATTCTAATTAATCCCAAAGGAAGATTCAGTATCTTCAGAAGCTTCTCTTTGACCTGTGTTTTAAGAGATAAGTTTATTTTCCCTCTGAATCCTCATTTTCTGCCCCATTTGGAAAGGGAGTAGACCTTTATAACATTCACCAATTGCTATACTTAGTTCCATTGGAAGACTGAGTATTAGGAATAGATCAAAAATATCTTCCTCATACACCTAACATTACTACATCTCTGTCTTCTGAGATGGATTGGATCAGCTGTCAAACTGCACACAGTAACGCTATCCAAATGTCTGGAGCAAAACCAGTGCAACTTGTAACATTGATTTTGGCAAAATAACAATAATAGTGATGCTACTATAATCAGGAATTTTTAAAGTCCTCAAGGATATTAAAAGCTGAAAAAATGCCACAGAAACATTAATAAAAGTAATTACAGTATTTCCACAGAACTCCCAATATAGTTTTCCTCTATAAAAAGATTCAGCATATTAAGAAGCAGTCGATTTAAAATGATAGCTTCATTACTGAGATCTTCCCACTCTTCAAATCTAGTATATTGAAAAAGTCTGAGTAACTTTATCAGCCTATTCTACATCAAGCAGAAGAGGTGGAAACAGAAGCTCACCTGTGCTAAAGCTCTCCTGATGACTTTGCCAATATCTTGTCTCCACTCAGGGATGTCAGGATTGTGGTAGTCCAAGTTAGGAGAAAATGAGAGGAGTTGAGATTGAAAATACTCTGGAATAGAAGAATAGTATTGATGAGAAGATTGAATGGGCAGAACTTAGGGTAGTGCCAAAAGTGTGGATTCAGTAATATCTCCTATTTATTTCAACGGAAACCTCAACAGATATGAAGAGCCCAATAACACTATTTGATAGAGCAAATTCTCAGCTACAAAACATTATTTTTCAACAGTCACCACGGCATTTTCATCAGCATTGAAATGAGCCTGCATGCTGCACTTATAAAAATCTGCAGCTGTGGAGGTGACCCACTGTCACTGCTGTCACTGCTGAAACACTGCACCCACTGCCTCACTGTGCTCACATCCACTGTTTGGTCTCAATAAACGTCCAGCAAGCGTTGATGAATGTCAATAGGTGCCTTTTTTTGATGCATGGAGGAATTCAGTGACACACCATTGCTTCTTAAGCACTTCCATGTCTAACACCATTCTCTCAGACTGCCCCTCCACTGCCATCATAAAGCAGTAACATGTAACGGAACATTAATGGAAGGTTCAATCTTCCAACATACCACCAATATCCACCTCTGACGCCATGGGCCAACAAAATAAAATAGGAGGCATTACTTTTAGAGCAGCCCTCATATTAAAATGATTTAAAGCAAAATAGAGATGAAAGAGTGAAGGAAGAAAAGAGCCTGGCTAGCACCAAGCAGGACAGAAAACTTGCAAATAATGTACTTAGAAAAGAAATCTTGCTCTAATGCCAGCCTGTGGCTTTTCCCAGAAGAAATGGAAGTGAAAAACAAGGGAAGGGAGAAGTCTTGCTTTCATGTTGGTCTTAGGCCACCCAGGTTCAAGTAATTTTGCCACTCAACTTCAACTTCTGCTTACAAAAAAGTTAACTAGTAAATAAGATGGCATCTGCCTGAAATTTGGAAACTGTGTAATTACATGCACTATGGTCTGCAGAGAAAACACATACTGTAAGTAATATGTTTTCAAAAGCAGCCATTATCTGTTTGCTCTCCTGGAGGGAAGCCACAAATGGTTAATTCCCCAACAAATCAGAGCTCAGTGGTGCTAATGACAGGGTAATCAAGTGATGGCTATTCATGAAATGCTTTGAAATTACTTCCTAATTGACTGATGGCAGGAGGAAGAAAAACTTCCTAGACTTCAAATTCACACCAATTTAAAATTTTCTCCAATTCCATCTCTCCTCTGTGGTGTCACTACAGTCCAAGCCTAACATTTATGACCAACACGCACAATGAATTTAGGAGAGTGGGAGATACAAGTTCAGGGTGGGAATCACACTCAGATAGAGATTCTCAGGGTAGAAGACTGTCCTTTCTTTTTGTGCTATGTGTATATGTATGTGCTGTATGTGCTATGTCACACCTTGAAGCACCTGATCTGAAGTCACGTAAATAAGTACCATTAATGATTTTTAAGAAGGTACCAGCTGTAGATCAAGCTAGACCAGCAAGAGTATAAATTAGGAAATCCACAGAACAGCACGGATGTGCCAGCACAGCATTCGTCTTGCATCTTTTGCAAGTTCTGTTCTTTCTTTTTAGACACTGCAATATATTTTTAAATAAAACAAGTATGGAAGAGTAGGCAATCTCTCTCTCGGTTCTTAACCCAGAGCCTGACATATAAAGCTTTTGACATTTGAACTCTCAGTACAACATCCAATTTTTTTTTTTCTTTCACTAAATTCTGCACTATTAGCTACAATTTTTGAAAACCCTCAATAATTCTTCACTGTTAACATCACAAAGGCATACTCATTATTAGAGCCATAATAATTTAACATAGGGCACAGATTAGAACTGGTAACGTAATTTACCAGAACAAATGTTTACAAAAGATGTCCCTTGTTTACATATTCAGACTTGAATTGATCACCAGATTTGGGTTGAGGAAGGACTCCTTCCTTCAGTGAGCTCAGTTTACAATATAGCCTTGTGTATAGGACTATTTGGATGTTCCAACTGCATGAATTACTCTGTGATAAAGTCCCAAGCTTTGGATATTTTAGAAAACAACAAAATTTCTTACATAGTATTTGGAAGCAGAAAGTGAGAAACACACTGGGATCTGCTGGGACCTTCAGTTCGCATATATAAAGATTGAGATCACCTCTTGAATACTCCTGATTTAAGTTTATTCCAGAAACCAGTGGAAAGCTGCAAATTTCACATAACTAAACACTGCATTTTGCAATACCCAAAATATTCAAGCAGAGGTTTACTTAGCATTTGCTAATACTGAGTTTGGATATTTCTAAATCATATCAGCAAATTATTAAAAAGCCATTGCATTGCACAACCAGGCAGTCAATAAATATCTGTTCAGCTGGTAGTTAAAGCTGAACATACAGCTTTCAAGTCATCAGCAGCAAATTTATCTTTAATTACAGAAACAAGACACATGCAGTTCAACCACATAGGGCAACCTCAGTTATTTGAAACCAGGTCCTCAATAAAACTTGCTGCCTAAATAAAGGTTTGTCCTTGAATGCTGGATGCTAAAAACTAGGTGAAATGAAGGCTAGCCCAGAAGAAAATTCTTCTACATACAGGTACAGCACAAACATACCAAACGAGATGCATAGGGATATCCAGTGAACACACAGTGAACCTCCAGCTGTGGTATGGAATATGGGCAGAAATACCAACAATAGAGCCGTTTCTGTCCCATTTCTTTCAAACTCTTCACCTTTATAAAGTGACTATGTGAAAAGAAATCCTGGGTGTATACAGGCTACTTTAGTGACATACCATGTCTGCTTCTTTCCACAACTAGAAAACAGAGGGGAGATGCTCTGCATATATTCTAAAGAGTTTTTTAATTGGAAAGTTCCCAGTCAGGAAGCCAATGAGAGCAAAGCAGAAGCGAGCCATTTCACTACAGTGCTGCACTTACAGATGCAGTTAAATTCTCTATTCAGTTCACTTTGCATTTAGTAATTACAATAAATCTGATCTACTTTGTTCACAGCTAACAAACATTTTACTTTGGAGGTCCCTCTAGGCACTAGGGAGTTCAGAGTTCATTTTGGTTCAACGACAACTGCCTGTTCTTCACTTCTGTATGTTCCCCGACATCTCATTGTAAATGGATGAAGTTACCATGTACTGCGATCTCCTTGGTGTCTTGGATGAGGGTGTTGCCTGCAGCAACCTGCACAGTGACAGTGTTCATCCCCTCCTCGCTGAAGATGTAGGAGATGCTGCTCTCCAGGGTGATGAGGGGCTGCAAAAGGGAAACAAACACAACAAAATCAAAATCAGGGTGCAATTAACTCAGGCACAACAGCCAGCTGAATAATCCACAAGGCCAAAATATCCTTTTACCCCTGGCTGATACAGAGTGCTCAGATCTGCATGTTCTGCTAAGTTCAAAAAGCATGTGATCTGAACATTACCCAATGAGACCATTCCACAGGCTAAGCTTTCTCTCACTTCACTAAATACCTCCTGAAAATTTTTTCCACTGAACTGCAACTCGTTACACTATGAATGCCTCAGCAGAGCACAGCCAGTGATTGCAGAATTAATGCTGCAGAATGCAGTATTGTAAACACACAAGCATGAGCACTCAGCATAGTTGCTTTCTCAGCTGTCCAAAACAGAAGGTTCAACTCAAATCAGCATTTGACTGTAATCCAGAGACACAGTACTTCCTCAAACAACTTCTATTTGTCAGATTCAGTACCAGCCCCTCTCTTAAGAATCATAGAATCATTATGGTTTGAAGAGACCTCTAAAATCATGTCCAACCATCAACCCATCACCACTATGACCACTCACAGAATCATAGTATTATTAAGATTGGAAAAAACCTTCAAAGATCATGAAGTCTTGCCATCAAATCATCACCACTTTGTCCACTAAACCATGTCCCTAAATGCCAACTCTCCACAGTTCCTAAACACCTCCAGGGATGGGGACTCCACCACTTCCCTGAGCTGCCTGTTCCAATGCCTTAACACTCCTTCTGAAAAGAGAATTTTCCTAATATTCAACCCTTGCTAGTCCCACTACACCTGCCTAGGACAATAACTGGACAGGGAGACCACGCCACCATAGTTTGGAGGCACCACCATGCTGTCACTTGGGGTAAGGATGTGGCCAGTAACCCTGTCCAAAGTCACCTTTGGATGTATTAGGAGCTCCCCATAACGTCAAGGACTCAAGCATCTCAGCAGGGTTTGCTCTCACTTACAAGTGCAAATCCACGATCTATCTCAGAGCAACTCTGCTTGGGACAGAGCAGTGGTAGCAAAGATTGTCTTGCCCACGTTTCAAGTCCGTGAGGCATAAGCCATCTTCAACTATTAAGCTAGCAAGTTACGTTAAGAAGACTTAAAACATGGCATAACACCTATAGACACTACTATCTGAACATAGCTGGATGGCTTCCAGAATAAAGCTTAGCAGTATTTGGCCAGTTCCATACTGTGGCAGAGAAGGCTGACTTTATCTACATCTTCTCAAATACATCCTTGACAGCATTACAGCCACCCCCTTTGCACAGGAAATTCTTACAGATACACATCTAGAGGAGAAAAGCGCACCACAATTAGGGAAAGAGATTCACTTATTGAAAATCAAAGGTCTTGCCCTAATAGTGCCTTTGAGCTGACAGCTGGTCTATAGACAAGCCTCTTGTTTGGATTAAACCATTACAATAGAAACAGTGATAGAGTCTCCATTGCAAAAGCACTTAGAGGTCTAAGAGCACAGACAAAACAACTGTACCATTACAGCTGTCCCTTCTCCAAACTGATAGTTTGTCTCCAAAGAAAAATATCCTAAACATTCACTTTCCAGCTCTCACACTTAATCCCATCAAACTGATAATTTGCCTGCATTTCAAAACAGTGACCATTCATGTCATATTCATAGATAAATCAGTTTTCACTGTCATAAAACCAGGCTGGCAAAGAGATTTTTCCCCTGTAGAAAGCCACCTTCTTTTGACCTCTCATCCATTACCTGAAAAAGCAATAAAAGAAAAGCCTGTCTGATCACTGGGATGGCAGCTTGGGGTAGCTCTGGAGTTGCAGTTAACATATACTAAGATACACATCCTGGATGAGCAGAACAGACCTACATTAAAATTCAGTGATATTAGCAATATACTTGGAGGTTACAGGTTGTGATTATGTGCAAAGGCAGAAAAGAGGAACCAATCTGGTCTTTAAAATTACTAATTCCCTTTTGTGTGTGTATGCATGCTGGACATTCCATTATCATGGCTGATTTCACCTCCATCATGGAGTTTTAACATTCAGCCAACTCCTTAATTTTAATTCAGGCACCAAGACCTGGAAATCAACTCTAAATTAAATCAAGTAGTTTAAGGTTCATTTGCTCAACCTATTAGACAGCTGGACACATTTATTAAACTGGACCTGTGTTAATCCAAGCAAATTGGCCTTTGGGTATACTGCAAAAATTAGTACAGTAGAAATTCAGTACAACGACTCCAGCAAGATGTTGAGGGCAACAGAAGGATCTCAGCCAGGTTATTGGAGTGTAAGACAACATTTTCCTGTGCAATAGCACAGAATACCACTGTGAGAATGCGCAGTGACACAAGACACATGGTTTTGCTTGGGATGTCTATGGGCTGATCAGACATAGAAGCTGCTATTCTTCAGCACTGGAATCAGAGTGTAACAATGCCAGACAGTTACTGTGCACAATATTACACACCACATCCCACAGTTCACAAAGAAATCAGTGTGCTCAGTTTTGACCAGTACTGAATGCCACAGTTTGTCCATGAGACACATATCAAATGTCCCAGAAGGAGTTTTGATGTAATTCAGACTACTGTTTCGGGAAGAAAAAAAAAACAAACAAAACAAAAAACAATAAAGCATCTACTGCTGTATCTGCATGTATTGCCATACACTGAGAGCGGCTAAGCAGCACAACTGAAATACACGAGGTAGCTGGAGAGAACACGAAGAATGAATACTGCTCTGGATCTTTAATTGTCTGTAGATAAGAGGAGCCACCTCCTCTGATCTGTATCTCAATGTAATTCAATAACACATAAAACCACTCAAAGGAATTAAAATTTTAGCTACTCCACATACAGCTATGTCCAAATCATCTACGCATCTACACCTGCCTATACTCCACTGAAATTTGAGCTAGCTGATAGCTTAAGTAACAGATCCTATTTACGAGAGAGATCCAAACACCATGACAGATGGATGAAAATCCTTAGCAAACAAAATTGGTTTTCTCCACCTTTTCTATACTAATTTCTATTTCAAAAATTCTTCTACATTAAGGACAAAAGTCGTGGCAGAATAACTATGACACCTAGATTGCCTTCAATATAATAGAAAATGACATGACTTAATTTGCTTCTTATAAATAAAAGCAGATTCTAAATTCAAAAATAGTGGCAGTACAATTCAGTGCTGCCACTATTTTTTATGGAGGATAGTGCCTGTGTCAGCTGTCTCACACCTGAAGCTTGCATCAAAAGCTGTCACTAACATGCAGTTCCACTCTCTCCACTAGAAAACACAATCACAACTTGTAGATTCACTTACTTTAATTATTGATAGAAAAAGTTTTTCATGTTAACTTTTTGCCAGCATCTTCAACAATCCCTACAAAGAATTCTCATCTCTATTTATCTATCTATCTATATATCCAGCATATGAACAATAGTCACAAACAGAGCTTCTCAAGCTTGTAACTTGAAATTCTGGATACAACTGGTTATTTGTGTGATTCTGTTTGAACACCAACAGCTTTAAAGTATTGTGTTGGAATGTAGTGTTATATACAGCACACTGGTACATAATGGAAACACCCATGTTTATTTGAACACTGGCAGTTTTTAAAAAGTGTTGAAAGTCAGTATTATCCCATACATAGAGATATATAATTCAGTTACATTGCAAGTGAACTCTGGTAATAACAGTGGTCTTCAGAGCTCAGTAGGGCAGATAACAACCAGATGTAAAAAAAAGTAACTAATTCTAAGAACAATGTGAGAGAGGAGGAAAAAGATACACGGAGCTGAAGTGTAAAGTAATAGCAACCTTTTTTTAGAAAGTAAAAAGAAGAAAATAACATAAAATAAGCAATGACATGACGTTTTCATTGGGGTTAAGGGAATTCCCTGCCCTGGTACAACAAGCTTAGCAAATAAATGCATATCAAAGGGCAACCGTACCTTGGTGCTGTTACCAAACCACCAGAAGTAGGTAAGTGTGCCTGCTTGACTGGGCCAAACTACTGCAGTAATGTTGATATCTTTATTCCTGATAGCAACAAAAGGAACACTCAGATGGACGTGCTCCACTGGACCTGTGGGAAGAGACAGTTGATTATTAGAGATTCTGAGTTAAATCTTCCCAACTTAGTTGTAAACAGCAAGGATTCTTCTCTTAAATGAATCAAAACACTGTCAGCAGTGAAACTCTATTATAGACATACAAATGAATTTCTGAAGTCAATAAGCAAAAGATACTAAATTAATAAACAAAATCACCCTTTTTTTCCCCACTCAATTCTTGATGAACCAAAAATGTGCACTTCTGACAGTGCTAAGTTCAGACAGGATCAGGCCTGAAGACATTTTTTTAAATGCAGCCTGAGGGAGAACAATAAACTTGTTTTGCGCAGGATAGGGCAGGCTGCTGTTGAAGTCTTGATGGAGTTGTAGATGCTCATGTTCACTGCAGGGGAGTTGGACCAGATGAACTTTAAAGATCCCTTCCAACTCAAAAGATTCTATGATCCTATGACAGGACACAAGAGACAAAGAAAGTGTTTTGTTTAAAATCTATCCAGTAAGCTAAGATTAGTGGGCAAACCACATTAACCAAGTTGGCTTAAACCTGATTACGTAAGAGGTATTTATATATGACTTGATTAAATATGCCTTCACAGTTCCTCTTTAGAAGGTATTTTAATACCTTTACTTTACCATTTACTTTCTTTCTTGAACAGTTAGTTAAGGTTCACTCCCAGGAACAACATTTTCCATCAGATGCTGTGAAGCATTGGCTTTCTCTAACCCTGTTATCTTTTGGGTTCAATGTAAATTATATCTATTAAGACCAAATGTCCAGAATAAGTCCCGTGCAAGAAGTCCAGAATTAAGAAGAAAATTCCTCTTGCCAACCCCAACAAAGAAGAGTAAAAAATATTCAGGTTTTTGGTTTGTTTTTTTCAAAGCTTTTCCTTCTATCTCAATTTCTTCCTCCTTATCAAATATGCCAGTTTTGCTTATACTGAATTCCAGCTGGTAACTGGTGTGTTACTGAGCCCTTCTTGAATGGTACCTTTTAATATACAACAAACTGATAGACTATCACTATGAAAAGGAAAGAATGAGTAAGAAAGGAGTTTTCTTTTCTAATATAAAATATTAAGTCGAGGAAGCACAAAATTGCTGATTTTAACTGAGATTATCTAGTTATGTTACCTCTCAGCTTTTCAAATATGAAATGGGGATATTAATTACTTCACCTACTTGAATTACAAGAATACTGCAAAGCAAGAGCTGTTCTTTTACCAACAGAATATAGAGCTTGAAGGACAGAAACATATTCTAGATTTTGGCTCTCAGTTTAATTCCCCTTTTCCTAAGGGCTCTACCAGCAAGATTTCTGAAATTTGCCCATAGGAAGTACATAGGATTCCCATGAAGAGCAGGTTCCCCCAGATATCTTCTGACAGTGCAGTAAGAAGAAAAATGCTAAAATCTTGCCTTCCTTTAAAAGAGGGGATGAACAGTTTGAAAGTAGATTCCAAAAAGTTGAAAAGATGACTGCTCTCCATTAAGGCTAAAGGAGAGAAAACTACTGTTGCTTGAAGCCCAGGAGCTCCTTTATCTCTCTCCTTTTTTTTTTCAAGCACAAAGTTCCAGCACCAGACAGACATTACACCAAAGGTGATTTATATAGCTGCCATTCTGCCTGTACAGTTGAGCTTCAAGGGCAAATCTCCACTACTGACTAGTACATTAAAATATATTAAAAGTCTAGTACTATTTTTTTTTAAATTTAATTCTCACAGTTAGTGTGAATGTAAATGTCTGGAAAATACTTCCCTAGAGATAATGATAATAAGCTGGCCATCTTAGAAGGCTACAGAAGTCAAAGAAGAGAGATCTGAGAAGCTGAGGGAGAAGAGGACACAAATAAGCCTAGCAATTGCCCCTCTTCTGCATTCTGTTCTAAAATCCTCAGCATGGAACAGCAGTTCCTGGGAGAAAAATCAGATAATCTTTACAAAGTTCGTTGTTATTACCAGGTAACCATCACTTTTGTCAGCTAATGGTCCAAGGTGAAGGAAAAAACAGTTAATGCTCTAATAACAGGTTGTAAAATGCAGCCATGATTGACTTTGAGGGAATTATGAGCATAATAAAAGCTTCCAGGAACATTTATTCTTTCAAGCAAGGAGCCTGAGATTTAAAAGAAGAAAATAGTTCTCACATTTTGGAATTGTCGGACTTGTTTCCAGTGGGAAAGCTCAAGCACAAGACAAGCAGAATAGAATACTTTCTGACTGGCTCTGGGAAAAGATGGACATGTCTGGAAGCACCATTAAGACCACAACCAAAGAGGTACATCTGAACACAGATTCAGTTGCCTATCCAAGAGAAATAGTAGTCTTACAGCAGGACAAAGAACCGAGACCTTCCTGGTCTCATCCTGGGTTCCTTCCTCCCTTCTGAGGCTTTGATAAGGTCAGTCAAGGGCTCTACAATTCTGCTTGTGTGTCAGGTGGAGAGAAATTAGACTCATCTATGTAACAGCAATGGAAAGTCAGAAGCACACATCAAATGCATGAAGCACGAGTATCACAGCAGTTCTCAGTACATCCATATCCTAGGAAATACACTCATCACAATGATTTTTGTCTTATTTAATATGTGCTGAAAACATATAAATACTGAGTAAAAATGCTGCAGATTAATCTAAATCTCTTGGTATCAGAAGCACATTAAAATCACATATCTGGATTTTGTTTCATATGCTGTTTTACCTCTGACCTTTTCAAAATCCTTCTCAAGCTTTTCTCTGCACATGCAGACTGTAAATACACTTTTATACATGCTACTTGCAAAGTAGCATGTATATAAATGAGGTTGCATGCACTCCTAGGCCCCACTGAAGCTGCAGGGATTTTCAATGAGGTTAGGATTTTGCCCAAGGAATCTAGCAGGAGGAAGTACTTACAGACCACATGCAAAAAGAGGACAGCAGTGTCAGAGCCCAAGCTGTTTTCTGCATATGCTGTCACCTGGAAGATTCCAGCACTCTTATATACATGCCGGATGCCATCCTCAACAGGGCTGAAATTTGCATAGGATACCGCGATGCCATCCCCAAAATCAAGTTGAATATTTGTCCTCTGGAGATCACCCTGCAACAAAGAAGGTTGGATTAGGGAACTGGGCTCATAAGAGTGATTAATATTACATTCTATCCCACTGCTCAGCTCCATTTCATCAGTGTGGACACAAACTCATGACTTTACTAAAAAAGTCAAGCTTCATTCTGCCAGATCCAAAAGGGGCCAGATTCAAATCAGTGCCAGCTAGCTACTTATTATTAATGCTAAGAGTAGCTGAACATTTGCAGCTGTTACTCTGTCATCTTGGATTTAGAGATTTTGAGAAAGTAGAATGTCAAAGATGTATATATCAATGGGATCATATTTGATTATTCTGGTACAATGCATGGTTGGGGATTATGTGTCACTGCAAAGGGCAGGACTTTGCACAGCCCTTTGCTGAATGGGTGACATCCAACAAGCACTTTCATCAGAAGCAGCAAGACTGGAGGCACTACAATGATGGGAGGCTAGATGCTAATTGTTAGATGCAATTCCCAGGCATAAACAGAAGCCTTGGGAACATTCTGGAGACAGGTTAATAACTGATGATACTGACATACTTGGATCTAGCCTAACCTAGTTTTCAGGCTTCCTGCATAGTCAATGGAAAAGAGAAAAAGAAAGGAAACAGACCAATACATTCTATTCTAAGATAACTGAGACAGGTGACACGATTTATCTTCTGCAAATATCCATCTCTGTACCCCTATGATAAAAAGTCTAGATAACTAATTTCAGCTAGACATGTAACTTCTGGACAGCAGAATTTATAAAAGTTGAGTCCCACAGAGATGACTGATAGCTTTTGTCTAATGCCAGTCAACACAGATTGGGCCCGGTGATACACAGAAAAATGCAAGAGAAGATGAGAAAATCCCTACTAAGATTACTGTCAGTGATAGTTATTAAATGAAGGAGAGAACAGCAGACAAGAGATTCCAGCATTGCAGGTATTGTCTAAAAGCATCAGCTGCACTGCTTTAGTTTAAATTACGTTTTAAACCACCGCAGTTGAACTATAGAAGTGTCTGCTATTTCAGCTTCTTGGATTCCTACTACGTATTTGTTCTCAGCTGACTAAAAGTAACACAAAACAAGTCTCATTTAAACAGATCTAAAGCCCAGCACAGCAATTTCACTGAAGTGAAATAAAATTACACCCTGATAGTACCTGTGCAGCTTTCTGTACATATATAAAGCTGTATTAGCTCAAATAATTTATCAGGAAAAGGGCTCCACTGTATTTACCCTGGGTGAAAAAGATACCACTACCTCTTAAAGATGATCCCAGCTGTACTGATGATTTCTCACACATCAGTTCCAGAGTAACAAAAAACAACAAATTAAAAATCTCTGCTTCTAAATTTATGTCAGGCTTTTTTTGTTATTTTTACTGTTGTTTTTAAAGGAAATGTGGCAGTATTTCATAGCCATCTCATAAGTCCGATTTGCTGTAAGCAAACAGGGTTAACATCAAAGCTAATGTCAGCTCCAGTCCATACTGATCTAAGCAGGGAAGTAACCATATAACTCAACTCACAGCCAGTTCTGATGTACTTCCAAGCCCTTCACAGGCAGGTCAGACCTTGCACAGTCCTCCATTTGCTGGAAAAGTCAGAATTCACAAAAGTCTCTGGGCCAGTTGTTGCGCAAAAGAAAGCACAGCTTCATAGAATCACAGAATGGTTAGGTTGGAAAGGACCCCAAGGATCATTAAGTTCTAACTCTCCTGTCACACACAGGGCCATCAACCTTCCAAATCTGGGCCACGAAGATGATCAGGGGACTGGAGCACCTCCCTTATGAAGACAGGCTGAGGGAGCTGGGCTTGTTCAGCCTGGAGAAAAGAAGGCTGCGGGGTGACCTCATTGCAGCATTTCAGTACCTAAAGGGAGCCTACAGAGGGGAGGGGAATCAACTCTTTGAAAGGGTTGATAACTGCAGGACAAGGGGAAATGGTTTTAAGTTGAGGGAGGGAAGATTTAGGTTCTATGTCAGGGGGAAATTCTTTACAGAGTGAGTGGTGAGGTACTGGAACAAGCTGCCCAGAGAGGTTGTGGATGCCCCGTCCCAGGAGGTGTTCAAAGCCAGATTGGATGGGGCCCTGGACAGCCTGGTCTAGTATTAAATGGGGAGGTTGGTGGCCCTGCATGTGGCAGGAGGGTTGGAGATTCATTGATCCTTGAAGTCCCTTCCAACCCTAACCATTCTGTGATTCTGTGATCTGGTGCTAGACCAGGCTGCCCAGGGCCCCATCCAACCTGGGCTTGAATGCTTCCAGGGATGGAGCATCCACAGCCTCTCTGGGCAGCCTGTTTCAGCACCTCACCACACTCTGAGTAAAGAACTTCCCTCTGACACCCAACCTAAACCTTCCCTCCTTAAGCTTAAAACCATTCCCCTTTGTCCTATCACTATCTTCCTGAGTAGGCTTCCTACAAAAAATGTACAGACTAGATGAAGTGAAGACACTGACAGGAGAGTTTTAGATCTGACAGCACCAGATTTCTACTAAGCAGTACTTTTCAGGCTTACCTGTGTGTAGAAGAACACACAGTTTTCAGCCTGGATTCTGACCGTGAATCCCTCTGCCATTAATGATTTTTTCTATACAAATAATAATGTCAGCCCTGACAGAAGCAGGATGTAGTGTTTTGCTACTGATTCCAGTTTCAAAAGTACACCTGATCTTATCCTCTGGATGGAAACACTGGCAGCACAGACTATAGACCAGACTACATTGCATTAGGTCTTTGAGACCAGAGCATGCCCCACAAATTTTGTCTTGTCTGCATTAACAAATCAGGGTGGAGAAATGGTATTTTAAATGGGATGATTTTGCCTTGAGAGTACATCTGGAGTCTTCAAGCACATACCCATAAAGTATAGCTTATTATGTGGGTTTTCAAATATGGGCATTTGATTACAGGTGCTAGATATCTCTTCTTTCTTGCACCTCCACTCCCATTTCATACAGGCCAGGGGAATATTGCTATTGACTTTATTAGGAACCAAAAATTTTCAACTCTTTCCTATTAGGACATTAAAATTATAGTGGAAAACAAAAAGAAAAAACAGAAATAGAGTAGAAATAACAGCAAAACCTATATCTATAATACTGAGTAGCCAATAACGTTGTTTCAATAGAGAGGTTTCTTTTTAAGTCATTCAACAGAAATCTCTAACAGGGACAAAATTACTCACTTGGGATACGCAGTTATTTGATAGAAAGGCTCACACAGCTTGTTAAGCCCTTCAAAACTACTTCTCGAGGGAATGTACTAAGACCACAAGCTCATCTCATATGAAAGACGCTGAACAGAAGATAAAAATCAGATCTGGGCTGGATTCATCACTGGTGACCTCGGGCTGTCACTCCTGTACCTATCAGGAGCTCTCCTCTTTTGCCATGCAATTCTATTTTCTCCTTGCTTCTCCAATTTGATTCTATTTGAAAAGAGAAGGTTTGAAGCAGAGAAAGAGGAAGTGACTTCTTGTGGCTAAGTACCACCTGATTATGAGAGTTTGGTCTTCAATGAAAAGCTAGCCCATCACACAAATTTTTTCTTTCTCTTTTCCATACCTCCGTATCCATAATAAAAGAAGTGTTAGCCCCACATACAATGTCAGACATTCTGGAATGAATAAATTTAAATTAAAATAGAAGCTGTTGGAGACGTTTCAAATGGATAAAATTAATTGCTTTCTATGTATAATCAAGAGGCACTTTTATTGCTTTAAGCCCCATAAGCTACCAAAAGCTCTGAGCTAAGGGCTGTCACAAAGACTGGAGCTCTGTATGCAGGCATCAATGGGCATGCAAATGGTAGTAGAACAGGCGGAGAAGAGTATTGCCACATAATGGCCTTCCAAAGTCATCACCCCAACATGACCCTGGAAAAGTTTTCTTATCTGTATACATAAATAATATATTTTGGTCATGAAACCTCAAATAACCCACATAAAGGCAAAGATCGGGGAAGAGCAGGCAGAGTACTGAGATCAGAAACAAAGCAAAGCAGACACAGAAGAGGCTTGGGAGGAAATTTTTCTTCCCATTGCATTCAGAAGCACACAATCTTGTTTCTGCTGAATCTAAAGTTGTTCCTCTAATGAAGCTCTCAAACTGTGTAAAAATATGGCACATCTGCGACTACCTCTTTCTATAAGCGTGGTTCAGTAATCTACTAATAGATGTTCAGAGCTCTAATACTTGCTCAGACTTGTACTTTGAATAGTCACTGCTTGCCTTCTCAGCTCACTTGCATTTACAAACCTGTTATCAAGCTTTGCCATCACCTTGTAATTACTGAAAGAGGGAAGCTGTGTGATGGCATAAACAGAAGACAGTGGAACCAAACACTTCACTATCTGGAGCTGCCACCTAAACAATTACTTAAGCCTGAGGGGCAGGCTTTCAGAGAGGAGCTGAGGATATACAGGAAAGATCAAGTTAAAAAAAAGAAATTCACAGACCTGGTCAAGAATACAAGTCCTTTAACAGCATACTGGCAGTCTTAACTCTTTGTGCTCAAACTCAAACAAAAAGCAGAAAAGGCTCTTATTTCCTCATGTTTCCCTGCATATATATGCAGAGGCCTCACAGCACAGCCCCATACCTCTAAAAACAAAGCAAGATCATCTGTCAGTGCATTTCTTTGTCATTGCCACACACATATCCTGAATTACCACTGTGAACTAAGACTGAATGTGCAAATCCCGAGAAATACTGTTTTCCAGTAACTACAATAAAACATTATTTTATCATTGGACAACATCAAAGTCAGTCACACAACAGTACACTGTGGGTGTATGTCTTTCTAGGAGGTAGAAAAGAACTGATGGCTAAACACAAAGTTGCTGGTCAGGATTAGTCTGGAGGAGTAGAAGGGCTGAACAGAGGTCACAGAGAAAGACTCAGTTGCAACAAAACCCCCAGCAGACTGTGCAGAGAAAGTGAATTAATCTCTACAACAGTAAGGGATGCAATAATAAAGATTTCTCCAAAAATGATTTCTTTCAATTGTTGAGGAATATTTTGATGACAACTCATTTGTTTTGCTGACTTTTCTTTCAGTCTCAGGTTCATACTGATAGACTGAAATACTTTTCCCCAAAATCTCAGGCTGTTTTATATTTTCCCCTTTTAAAATGACCTTTTATTTTAAGTAACAAACTCAACATACAGCGCTCTGTGGAGTAAGCTGTTCACCCACAAAAACGTGTTCTTGCAAATACCCTTTCCTTAGGACAAAAAGTGTTCCAACAAAATGTTTTTCAACAAAGGACAGAGTCAACACCCTCACATATTTATTCAGCAGCCTCTCTGTTCTCTGAAGCTTGTAAAGGCTCCACTTTTCAGCTACTTTGACTGCTGCCTTATTCCCCATCTGTTTATCATTCTTTGTACACAGCAGTTCCGCTTGATTTCCTTAATAAATTACTACTAGATTCCTAATTTTTAGATTATGTCTGTTCTTTTCTGAACTCCCACTCACTAGTGTCTATACAAATCGCCTTACCATGTCAAGTCTGCAGAGTATAAAGGAATCAGCCATGTAGTCAAGAAATCCCTTTGTATAAAACCAGAGCTAGCATGAATCTCTGAGGAAGTATGTAAAGAAGTCCTGTCAGATTAGTGTGGTTCCAATGAAACACCTAGTTACTGGACAAGTCTTTAAATTAGTAGAAGTTTATTGTTTAAAAAATAATAAGAAATCACATGAAAAAATACTTCTCCATGTCCAGACTTAGAGTACCTTATATTCTTGAAGGTTTATGTGGCCAATGTAGTCTACCCTCCTCCCTGCACAGAAGTACAGTAACTGCAAACAGAGCAATCACATAAGCCCCTACACATCAAATCACAGACCAGAAAAGGCAAAAATATTTTGAGAAAAACAGTCCGAAGGCATACAAAATGCCCTAGCTACCTAACTGTCTACCGAGCCACAAGACTACAGTGGCAAAGGTTGCAATGTATGTGTTCACCAAGCAAAGGGATATTCGATTCAAACCACGGGAAATACCTCAATGTTTTGATGCTTCAATCACCAGCATGACACTGTATATTTGTGCTACTGTTTGTGCTACTATTCCTAAAGGAGGAATCCTATCAGATTAAAAATAAAACAAATACACATTGGGGAACTTGGAGGTGGATTGAGGAGGCTCCATTCCTACTGCAAAGCAACAATGTTTAAACATCCCTCGCTGCTTTCCCTGAGCCTGAACACTTCCCAGCATTCTTAACCTTTCCTAACAATGCTTCACCTAAGATGGAACTAAAGGTTAGCAACCCAGAAACTGGGAAATGGTAAGCATAAAGACTCTATCTCTGACTCAACAACTCCCAAAACTGCAGCTCACTGGAAGCAGCAAGAAGCTACTGGGAAAATAAGATTTTCACCGTATCACCAGATCTGTCATTCTTCAACAGCGTCCTTCACTGGTAAGCAAGATAACCAGGCAAATACATATATGAATTGACACAATATTATTTGCATCTGTGTTTCATGTACAATGCTCTCATAAATTCCCCCAGGTCTCAGTAACATTCAGAATTCTGTAACCTTGCCTTTTCCTCTTAGTTGTCTGACAGATGAAGGGAAAAGAGTATCAGTCCTGCCATGCTGTGAATGACTTGCTGAGTTTGGAAACACACCTCTTCCATAAGGATGATGAAGGTGGCATTGTGCCCCTGCTCGGTGACCAACTTTCCATCGCTGGTGACGATGTGCAGTCCTCGAGGTGCTTTTCCAGGGCACTTCTCCATCTTGGCCTTATACTTCTCCCGCAAGCCATCTGTGCAGTTGTTGGACACAATTCTTCGGTATCTGGGGAGCAGAAATGAAAGGAAATTGGGCCAGGCAATGGCCCAAGGTGGAAAGGTTTCTTTTTTGTTATTTGCCCGTAATAATGTATGCATTTCCTCAAAGGCTAACTGCCTGTATGACTCCCTGACTGAAAGGAAGAATCACAAATCTAACACCTTATTAAGCCAGAGAAAACAAAACAAATCACAATCCAGCCTTCTCCAGAGGTTCTCAGCAGCACCACAGAGAACAGACACTTATTATAGAGGTCCATTACTCTGTGTTTTTAAAAGACTGAGAATTTCCCCAATTTGCTATGCCTGCAGGATTGCACCCTGCATCCCAGCTTTTTATTACATTGTGTCTGCCTCCATTCTGCTAGTAAGAACTTGGAAGGATCTGATAATGGCTTTGTCCAGTTCAATGTTAAAATTATTCATGGAAAAGGTTTTTCTCTTGAATCTGCTTGGAAGATATTAGCAAATTTGCAAGATGCTTAACTATTCCCAGTGCTGTTGACAGAGATTAACCCTTTCTGGTAATTTCATACTAAAAGATAGGGTTGGCTGAGAAGGTCCAGATTCCAGCAATTTTATTCTTGTCCTCTGTCCAGAAGGCCACAAGCAATCACACTGGCCAGTGCCTTCATTACATCCCATATTTATAGCAACCTTTGAGATGAAAGGGGATAAGGGGAATGTTGTTTCTGAAGCAAAATGACTCCAGACTCACAGCAGCCACATTTTCTTCAGCCACTCCCAAATATCAACCTTAAATCACTCTGTCCATAATAGATAGGCATGCAGAACCCATGATTTAGAAGCAGTCCTGTAAACTCTTTAGGGCCTGCAGTGCCTGAGGAGGAACATCACAGTTTTGCATCAAGTGCAACAACATTTAGATTATCACCCACACAACAGAATAACATTTGCAAATGATACTACCATAATAGACCAACATTTGCTGTATGTTCTGGGTATAACCAAGAGAACCCAGCACATGTGTTTTGTCTGAAATTTCACTGCACTGTGTATACAACGTGAAAATAGCAGGGGGAAAAAAAATCACAAGGTGAAAACTGTTCATTTTACCCTTACCAAAAGCTATAATAAATAAGAGCTTTAAAAAAAGAAAGAGGTTTAATGAAATATAGGGCGAAATACCATGAACCTGCTCTTTTAAATTTTCAACTTTCTCTCAGATGCACCTTCTGGATTTGTGTTTTAATTTTGAAGCAGAGGAGCTTCAATTCTAGGCTCCAGAGATTACATATCACTTGATAGCAATACAATATCTACATGTCACTTATGTTAATGTGCTTCTCCCTGTCTCTGAAGAATGAGGCAATGTTCCATATAGATGCAGCTGCAAACATTACCACACGAGTAAGATTGGACAACAGCCAAGCAAGATGTGGAGGAAAAGGTCAGACCAGGTTCTCTTGTCTACCAAAACCAGAGAGCTGTCAATGTTCACTTACCCAGTGCTGTTCAGATAGCTTTGACCAATGCTGCAGTCCTTGGATAGGGAGGATGGACTGAACCAGAAGGCTGGGATACACTGGTTGTTGTTGTACCTCTCATAGCCGTAGTCACTATGGAGACAATAAGTCACGAGTGTATTTCTGTTCCTATTCACTGGATTTAGCTCACCTTTAAGCAGTGCTTCTGCTCTCCAGTGTGTGTGTTGGCAGCTCTGGATGGCACAGCATTGCGGATTAGGATCATTCCGAGACAAAGCGCCTGATTAGTTTGTGAAACCTGACAACACCAGAACTACCAACATTGCAGAACACCAGTGAACTTCTGTTTCTGTTGGCATCAAAACAAGGACAAGGATTCATAAGAAAAATGATATTGTTAATTTTTCTCCCATTAATTAATAATCAATCATATTTGTTGGGTTCTTTTGGTGCACATGCTTTTTACAGTCTTTGCTTTTAGAATAATTCAGACTAACTCTGCAATGATGATACTTCTTCACAACGAAGTGCTTTGGAATATGAAACAGTAGGAACACTTCTTGAACAACTAGCTTAGGTATGTCTATAAACATGTATGTTAATGGCTCTTTGACCAAGCTAAGGCTGGCCTATTAAAAAAATAGCTTATGTTTTTCCAACTCTAAACTTAAACAGCACAGACAATACAATATCGAAGGATTAAACAGTATTGTTTTAAGTGAGGAAGTAATCCAGAGTACTGATGCTTCTTTAGATCACCGAAAAGTAGAACTACGCCTAATTGCATTTAAGACTATTTTTACAGCTTCCTTTGCATGCCAATACAACGATGAAGCAATGGGATTAATCCAAAGCTTTCCACAAGCTTTAATAGGCTCTCAATTGAGTTTGTATGCATATCCTTTATTGGCAGGCCGGATTCAAGGGGTAAATAAAAATGGAATTTAGATTTTTGCCTAAAGCAGGTTAACAAATGCCAATAAATTAAGCCTATGTGGAAACACAGATACTGCAGAAGTCACTGCCTTGAAAACACTCCAAGCACTTTAGGACACTCTTGGCTTTATCCTTTCCCCTGTTCAGGGCCTGAATTGCCAGCAGAATGTCTCCAGGAGGAGCTTTGGCGAGACAAAATTGTGTTATGTCTCCAGTGACCCCAGATGCTACTTTCTTTTTTGGAGGGCAAAAATTCTGCAAGCTACTTTAAAAGGTTCAGAGATTCCCTAATGCTCTTTCCCTCAACATTCAATTTAATCATTCTCAGTGGGTCTGACCTGCGCAGTCAAAAATGCCTGGCAGTGACTTGGTAATTAAAAATATTCAGGAGGAGCTGTACTTTGCCCCAAAGAAGAAAAGAACTGCATAAATATTTAATAAAATTAAAGACAACATTGTGGTATGCCCTTAAGGTTCTGCGCTTGTTCATTAACTTCTGGTAAATGTATATTAAAACCTTGTGTGCTGCCCACCTTCCTTCTCATGAGCCCCAGGGTTTGCATAAGTTAAAGAAATAATCAAGTCCAGCTGCTGTGCTGTCGTTTTCAGGAAAGCTATCTTGACAGAGTAAATAAAGAAGCAGGAGGAGAGAAAAGAAAGATCAGTAAGCATTTTAATAACACTTCTGAGTTCATTCTGCCATTCTCTGTCAAAAATGGCAAAGCTTTTATTTTTAAAAATGACGGTGAGGGTTGGAAGAAATCACCCTTGACCTTGACTTGTGAGTATTTGTTGAATTGCGACCCTGGATTACAGTTTTATGCCCCTGAAATTCAGATTAGCCTCATATCTAACAGCAGAAAACTGATATCACTGCTAGATGAGGCAGACAGGGGCAAAGGCTCTATGACCAAATGAGAAGGAGAACAGTTGTCACAGCTTGTGCTGTAGGGCTCCTACAGACATTTGTTCCTTCCGCACAGCTCTCAAAGACAGGTGTGATCAAACCTCATAGCGTGGGATGCTCTGTAAATAGAACAAGCCTCCAAAATTACTTACTGGAGAAGACTGGAGTCAGTCTTTTAGGACCTGCTGGTGACTGTACTCACACAACACAGGCTGTCAGCCCCTCTCCTTTCTCTGGCTCTCCATGGGATGTACTCAGTTCACAAGTAAGAGACCAGTTGGTGTTTCCAAGAACAACTGATGATTGCAAACCCAGTCAGACAGGCTTAGTAGATATCTTCCTTTTCAAAAGCACCAAATGAAAGAGTAGGAGCAGTGCCTCCAACTGTAGATATGTACAGTAGAGGCATATTTCTATCAGATCCCCCGTATAGAGCCTTCTTCTAGTCAGCAAAGAGAAGAGGTGCTCCTCAGTACCTGCCATTCTCATGTGAACACCCAAAAGGCTGATGAATCATATCCTAGAATAATGTGTATCTTGTCACTAAAAGACTACCTCATCCTTTAGAAGTCAACAGTCAGAGAAGATGAGTATATGCCTCTCCTCTTTGAAAATCATCTTTAAGAAAAATTGAGCTTAACACCCCATTAACAACACTGTTAGCACTTTTAGTTTGTTTGGTTTTTTTTTCATTACAATTGCCCCATACCTTCTTCCAGTCAGCCCTTAAGAACTAGCATCAAATCCTACCCTTAATGTGAAGCTAGTCCTTCTGATTCTCCATTAGCAAAGGAGACAAATATACAATTACAGATGTTAGTTGGCAGTGCAGAGTCTGAAACAAAAAGCAGCTTGCTGTCCTCTAACTGCATCTCTTATGCAGGATTGGCAAGGTTAGTAGCAATATTCTCTCATGTTAGTGGGAAAATTAAGCAAAAATGATACTAAACGCGTGCAAGGAGCAATTAAACAAAAAGGTGCGTTCTGATGCAAACACTTTTTGAGGCAGAACAGCATTTAAGGCCAATTTAGTTTTCCACTTCAGCTTAGAAAATATAAGCTTCACTGTGAAATTATAAAGCTGGTGAGGCACAAAGCAAAGAGCAAACTCATAAGCCTCTCCAGAGATTAGTGCTTGGTGCGGCTCAGAGGCATATGCCAATGCCAAGGGCAGATACTGCAGGGCAAGATACTTTGTTCATCCTGTAAGTTCTCAGGATGAGAACAAAGGGAAAGATCTCCTGAGTCAAGCTAAGGAGTCTCAGACGTAATTTTGGCATCAGGAACAAATTAAGCATCCATCCAGATAAGATGAAAATCTCTGCTCTATTTCCCTGAACACCTTACAGAGACAAACTACTCCAATATTCAATAAATCACTCTTGTCCATATTTTTATTCATTTTTTTCTGTATTTCAGTGTGTTCACAATCTAAAAAGAAAGAAGTCTCAGCTAGCCTAGGTCCAAATAAGTGTGCAGACCTTGTGCCTCACATTCCCTCAGGCTGAATTCAAAGATAAGTGAAGTTTTCATGAATCACACTGGTACTAAATCAGACACTGATCCTGATAAACAGCTATAAAAATGAAAATCAGTTTTCTCAGGGTTATTTTCAACCTCATTTAAATGATGTTCTGATCATGTAGGCTCAGACATCACAGCTACTGACAGTCCTAAATCCTTCAAGTATTGCCTATCATGGGCTCCCCATAGGATATCCTTGTACAGAAATCCTGGACTGTTACATATTTCTCTAACTCCTGTCCCTGAGCACATAAGCATATAAGCAGTATCAAAGAGCAGTTCATTATTTCTCTGTTTATATTTTTAAGCTGCTTTCAAAATGACCTTACAGCAGTTCAGAAATAAAAGCCCCATTAAATTAGAAATACTAGCACTTATGCAAAACAAGAGGCTACATCTGATAAGGTTGGGCTGTACAATCACATCACTGAGGCATGTTCCGAGATTTATCAACAAAACACTGCTAAAAATGCACAAAAATGGTTCCCCAGAATTCAAAGGAATAATAATCTAAAATGTGTACGTTTTGCTAGCTTGCTCCCAAGATATTCAATGACCTTTGAAGTGAGTATAGAGAAAATTCCCTTTTCCTACTATAAAGGACATGCTTTGGACCAAAGAGAATAGTCCTGGCTGTCACTCTTTTAAAAACGATGGATGTAGGAATGTCAATCAGTACTCGCATTTTTCTACTTTTGAATTCCAGGCTTGGATTTCTCACAGAGATTAACAAAAACCCCCTGCAAACAATAGGGATGCATCTCTCACATGGTGGATATAAGAATCACATATATGCTACATGGTGCAGTCAAATTCACAAAGCTGCATGAGACCCCGTTTCTCCCTCAGGTTCTTTGTTGAGGTGGTAGTTCAAACACTGCCAATGCTACAAGAAGAAGCTCTGCAAAATTTACCAAAATTACACACTCACCATTCAAAGTCCCCTTGACCACAGATACAGGGTTCAGACACCACAGTTTGGGAATAGTCTCGACCCAGGGAACATTGAGATCCAGGCTTGCGTTTTTTATAGATCTTCCTCTCTCCCATGACACAAGGTTCCCCCTTTGGCAAGGATAAGGAGGAGAAAGAAAAACAGAGAGTTGTAGTAGCACCTGGGCCCTAAACCACGCATTTTAACAAGGAAACAGAAGACAACAAAAGCATGCATTTACCACAGGGAGAGTTGAGAGCTTAAGAGTCTAGCTGCCTTTCATTACTCTTGACTCTGAAAACTCAAAAAGCACCTTGGGAGTACCCACAAGCACTGTGTTCAGCACTTGAGTCGGGATGCTAGCCACAGTGCACCCATAATGCCTGAGTATGCAAGCCATCACCTGGTTCATGTGGTATTTCAGAAGGCACCCACTACAGCTTTTAGTCCTATGAATTATCCTGAGAAGAAATGGGAATGAACCGCTAGGTTTCTTTTACATGTCAGATAACACTGATAATGGGAAGAACTGCTTGAGTCTGAAACCCAAAATCAAGTTGTCAGTCTCAGGAGTCCTGGCTCCCCTCTTCTTTCTCTGGTAGATCTGGCTTCACTACAGGCTTCAAGTAATTTTGATGGCATGTTACACTTGGTTTTGTGCACACAAAGTTTTTCAAGAGCATTACTGTGTATACCTTATCTAAAAGAAATGTTTGACATTTTGGCACGTTGTTACAAGCAGAATTTTCTCTGAGGCAGAAATAATTTATCTACATAAAAGTAAGTTTAAAAAGACAGTATCTAATTGAAATATTTCTTTCCCAATAATAGCGATTCCCAAGATGGCTGCCTGGCCTTATTAATGTTCATTTCTAATTCATGGGTTTCATACAGGAAAATCACAGTGCCAATAGTTCTGGCTCCACTTTAGTTCCCCTGCAGGGAGTGGGACATCATACTGGTGGCCCATAACCCATAATGAATCTTCAGAGGGTACTGAGCTCCTTCTAGCTCCTTCAGCCCTAGCGGCTTCAGGGTCCAAGTATATCCAGTATGAAAATAAGACAGAATGTATGAAAAGAAAAGTATGTATCTTTAAATAAAATAATTTGGTTTTCTCTAGTGGCTTTTATTCAAGGACTCCCTGGAGTTTTACAGACACCTGCAGGATCTGAAAGATGAATAAATGTTTTTATTTTCATGTTTGAGTATGGAAAATAGAGGCAAAGTGAAAGAAAATTATTTTTCTGAGTCACTGATAAAGCTACAAAGAGTTCAATGTCTTCTACGTTTCAATCACAAGGTGAGGTTTTACATTGCCACGAACACCAAGGGCAGAAAGATCCACCTGGTAAAATGGAATATTTTAATACAAGGAAAAGTTAACAACTTCCCAAACTTGCCTGGAGAAGTCTGACCCCATGTTTATTTATGCGTATATTTCAGGGGAAATAAAGCATCAACAGGTTAGAATTGTGACTTGATGTATGTAAAAAACATGCTCTGCTGAAAAGAATGTATATATTCCTAAATGGAAACACAGGGTATCAGAAAAGGCGCCGCCCCCCCCCCCATCTCCTCCCTATAAAGTCAGAGTACCTGATTGTGCAAATGCCAGGTTTGGTAGTCATCTTTGTTACACTTCCGGCTGAAGATAGGCTTGTAATCCACCTTGACCAGCTGCCATTCAGAACGGAGACTGAAGTGCCCAAAAATTCTATGAGAAAGGGAAAAAAAAAGAACCAGAATCAGGCAGGGATATTCTTCCACTAAGCACAACAAGCTCTGAGTCTAATGCAAAAATCTAGGTACTGCTCAGAATAGTAAAGAGCCACACTAGAAAGTTACACATCTAAAAAAAGGGAGGGAGCTACTCTGATGAATATATCTATTTTGTCTGCCTCAAAATCAATCCTTTTCTTCATGTAATCAGTCTCTTCACTGCTCAGCTGCCTGGTTGCATAAACTTACTACTTCAGGTTTTTGTAAAAAAAAAACACCTGATATAACATTTGGGACATGGACTATAGGCAAGAAACCTGTAAAGATGACAGCCTCCCTTCTAACTTGTAAAAGCTACGCTTGTTTTTAAAAAGCACTCCTACAGCTAGTAGGGTGGGATTATAAAGTGTCACCACTGTAAGGTTATCATCTGAGCTTCTTCTTAATTCTTTTGAGTAGGTCATGCATCATCAGCAGTCACTGATCACAGTCAATAGTTCAACAAAGTAATAAATTGATTTTCAGGATGAAAATAACATCTTCCCCACACAACTCCAGGAGACCTCAAGGCTCATGCTGAGTAAAGCTGTTGGAGCTGAAGTCAGTGCTCAGAAACAAAGGGGAAAGGACTCACTTTAATTTGTAACCAAAACACAGACCAGTTACAAATAGAATCTTGAAAGTGATCATATAAAATTAATTAGCATCGGAGCCCAAGCTTGGACCTTGCTTGCATGTTGGCAGTAGAGACAGTTATCAAACACATCTCTCTAAATCCCTTCCCACCTAAACAATCCTTCGTCATCTGCACGGGAAACTATATCTAGTATCTTAAGTTCCTAGAAAAGAAGGACCAAAGCAATGACGAGCACTGGTGGAACACATCACTAATCAACCATCATCCCAAAGACTAAGGGAATTTTCCTATTCGCTTGGTCAGCCATGGTTTTCTCAGTAAGAAGCAGTTCTTCAAGCCACTGCAGCTGGATTTACAGAGAAGTGTGTAATAGGAGGAGATCAGGGCAGGAATACAGGTGACCAGACTTTAAAAGTCATAATACAACAGTACACATATTCATTGGCTGGGGGAGCACATTAAAAAAAGAACAAAAAAAAACCCATAATTATGTTGATATATCATTAGAACAAAATGTCTTGGTCATGTTCAATGAATACATAAAAGAACCTAAAAACTCACTGTCATTACTTATCCAAAATATGAGTTCTGGATTAAAAGACTCTGCGTATATTGAAACTGAAACTTTTCTGACAGTCATTCAGCAATGGCATCATATCACTCTTGCAGCAAAATTCAGAAGGCAGAGAAAAAGCATTTTTTTCATTACACATATTCCTATATGTTATTTCTTATATCTTCCACTAATCTACGTTTTCAACCAAGCCACTTACAAGAATTAAAGTTTTTATTATTTTAATTATTCCAGACTAGAAAAGAAAGATTGAGAGATACAGACGATATACAAAATTCCCTATGAAAGTGAAGCAAAAGAGAAAATTTGTCTTGAGTTTTCAGATCCGCAATCCAGATCCTGCTGTGACCCTTCTGTTACTCCAGTTTCCCAGAATTTTCACTGTAATCACTTTGTGTTGCTGGCTTTGCTCTCACCTCACTACCCAGACAACTAACTTCAGGCCAGATCATGACTCTGTCTTGTCACTGGTTAAATCCCACCAGCTCTTGTGCCACAGTTGCTTTCACTCCATCCACTTACAGGGTGCTCATCTGGTCATGGTATTACTGCACAGCTAGGCAGCTCTCCCATGAATCTGGTTTGACGCATGACTGAAATGTCATTCCTGCAAAGCAGAAACTCAGCAAACTCAAATCTTTTAGCCCAGCAGATTTATATCAGTTCAGGATTTGACCTATGTGTGTGTAACACAGAAGACAGAGCAAGGGGAAGGGAGAACATACAAACACTTGCCTGAACCCAAAAGATAACAGAGTTAGAGAAAGCCAAAGCTTCACAGCATCAGAAGGAAAATGTTGTTCCTAGGAGTGAACCTTAACTAACTGTTCAAGAAAGAAAGTAAAATGCTTCTTTGTGCTACAAAAATCAAGCGACTAGAATCACCAGAACCCTTGCTTTTTAAATCTGTTAGAGCAAGCTAAAAACCCTCTGTCACTGAAATTCCTGCATGATAACAATGATTAATGAAAAAAAAAAAAACAAGGATTCCTAAGTGGAAGGCTATATATTAGCATTCCAAAAGCGCAGAGCATTAGCTACTCTTTAATTAAATGATTTCAAAGAAGATCTTTGTATATAATTGCTATAATTTAGATGGAAACAATACTACTCTAAATGTAATTAGAGGAGTGTGAACAGAGAGGGATGTTTTTCTCTGTGTTGCAGAGATGGTTATGGGTCACTTGATTCCTGAAGTAGCAACTTTTTCTCTCCTGCTAATAAAAAGCTTCTTAAGCCTGATCCATCTCTGCAGTGCAGCCTTTAGAGTGAAAAACTGCACATATGCAGAGCACCTAGCAAGCAGCTGCACTGTGTAAACACAGCTCACTGGTCAAACAACCCAGATGCCTACGGTACTTTTCAGTTGGGGAGGTGAGCCAATGACAAAGGTTACACTGCGTTTCAAGATTGAAAGTATGAAAGTTTGAAACTTCCATGAAAGTAAGCAAATTTGACAAATGGAAAGGAGATCTGAGTTATCTGTGGAGCTCCACTGAACTCCCTAACACCTTTTTCTGGGAAGTGAGGAAAACTTTCATCTTTTTTTTTGGCATTAGAACTAAGATAAACAAACCATCAAAGGGAACAAATTCTGACTGCATGTTACAGCTGAAGTCTACTTTTATCAGTTTTGTGAACTATATCACTGGATACTTTACCAAAGTGATTCAAGGTGCATCCACCTGATCCCCTCCACAATCTCTGTTTCAGGGTCACCAAGCCCATCCAAGAAGGCTGGGTAGATAGCAGAGGGTTCAAACATCTTAAACTGCTGGTGTTAACATGTCAAAAGTGCTCAGCATTAAGTGTTTTGGTAAGAACATTTGGATTTCTTTATCCAGCCAGCTGATTTTGGAAGAGCTGTAAAGGCAGGACAGGAGACAGCATACAGGAGGTAGCCACAGGACAGAAAAATCTTACACACTCTTTACCTCAGCAGTATGGTGTGTTTTTTCTCATTTTTAAACCTCTCACTTTTAGAAATAAAACAAGTCTCCTCCCCTATGAGGACAGGCTGAGGGAGTTGGGCTTGTTCAGCCTGGAGAAGAGAAGGCTGCGGGGTGACCTCATTGCAGCCTATCAATACCTGAAGGGAACCTACACCCACGAGGGGAGTAAACTCTTCAAAAGGGCTGACAATAGCAGGACTAGAGGAAATGGATCCAAGTTGAGGGAGGGAAGATTTAGGTTGGATGTTAGGGGGAAGTTCTTTACAAGGAGAGCGGTTAGGCCCTGGAACGGGCTGCCCAGGGAGGTTGTGGATGCCCCGTCCTTGGATGTGTTCAAGGGCAGGTTGGATGGGGTCCTGGGCAACCTGATCTAAATGTTTATGTTTGGTGGCCCTGCTAGGCAGGGGGGTTGGAACTACATGATCCTTGAGGTCCCTTCCAACCCGGGTGATTCTGTGTGATTCTGTGTGATTCTGTGCGAAGTCTCAATCACTCAAAGAGAGAAACTGAAAAAGGGTCGGTGGGAATTTATTCCTCCCCCTGTCTCTCCACCCCCCCCCCAAGTGGTAAATCATCACATTGCTCCGAAGATACAATTTCATTTATCTTATCCAATCCCTTATGTATCTTAGTTTCTCATTTACTTTGTTTACTAAATTAGGGGTTGGTTGTTTTTTTTTTTTCCCACCCTAAATATAACCAAACTATCAAGATGACAGAGAGGAAGAGCAGACATGATGTACTATGAATTTTGCCTCAATAACCTTGCCTACCATGGTCTGACTGGGAGCTCCTGAATGCTCATTGCAAAAGCAGAAGACAAAAGAAAGGAGCTGGGTTTTCAAGGTCTTACACTGCAAAGATAATGGTTTGATTTTTTCCAATATTTGTAGTCTGACCTGAAAGCTCTTGAGAAGCAGCAAATACAAGAATCCAGATGGTATTTAGACAGTTTTCTGAGTAAGCTCAATTTAAAAAAGTTTCTCCAAACTAAGCCATAGAATGGCAGTTTACTGACATTAGTCAGGGTGATTTTATTCTGTTTTAAGCAGTTAAAACTCCACATAAAAACCTCAGCCTGTCCTCCTCTAAGGACAGGCATCTTCTCAACTCGATCTATGCACCACTCACAGTGAAGCCATTGCTAGGAGACCAGAAAATTCTTCCCAATCTCTTCTTTTGAGAAACAAGGCAAGGCTTTTATTGCCAGAGCTCGATGTCATTAATTTGCAGCAAAATTACTAAGAACCTGAAAAACAATGCTTACAGATTCATGATGGAGTCATTTTGGAAAAGGTCATTGGTAATGCTGTTATAATTATATCTTTCATTAATTTTTTAAACACACAATAACTTACAAATGTGGAATATAGTGACTGGATAACCTTGTACAGAAACTATTCAAGAGGGTTTTATATTTATACAGTATTCTATTGATGAACTGTAATGCTTTTTCCTTATTATCCCCTGCATTGTTGATAGCCGTGCTTTTTACGTCATTGAATATTGCTCATACCTGACAGGTCAATGGGAAACCTTGGATAATCTGAGGGTCACAAAATAACAACTCATCCACCTCAAGACCACAGACTCAATCCCTGTCCCTGTCTAGATACGAGAAATAAATCTTCTCATTTAATAGTTTCTGCATCGATCTCAGAAAAACTGTCATCTGTATCCATCTGGATCTATTCCTTCTGGCAGTGTCAGATGAGCTGTCCAAGCACAGAAACAGAAATGCCTTTTCATGGCGAAATCAAGTTGTCTTCTACCAGTTCCATAGTAAATTGTCAAGACATTACATGAGGCATGCATTAAAGTTGTCTGTATTT